CCTCTTCACAAGCGGGTGGCGCCATCCTCTCGTATTTTTGAGCTGCGAAATTAGTACATCCTCCACCCTTGTCGACAAAGCTACGATATCTAAGGAGGGCGTAGGAACATCAAATGAACGCGGGCGCTGCCTTTAACCGATCTTACAAAAGGAGGTCTTTCAGGTCGTGGCGCGCTTTTTGGAAATGGTTTGTTGCTTGTTGTAGGGGTCAAAAATGGGTTTCATTTTTGCTATGCGTTTCTGGGGAGGTCAAAAACTGAGTGAAAAGAATTTGACAAGAATGGGCGATTTTAACTATCTTAATGGGCTCCGTTCTGATTGTAACTTCGAGCATGCATAGTTTATGAGGTGCTCGTTAATTAGGCTTCAAAATAGTTTCAAATAAAGTCAAAATGTAAGTATCATGTAGTAACACACTTGGCATGCACCGACGCAACAGTGATGTTTTTGTCAGCGGTCCCCTCATGCTCACTGTCGGCGGATCGGATGGCGCAGCGGGTAACTTGATGGATTCTGGATGGGTAGTTGACAGGGACCTCGCGGATTGGATCCTCCTTGCTGGCGAACTTTTGCATTTTTCAGCTTTCTATTCATTCGCGTTCCTGTGTGTCTAGCAGTGGAAATAAGCCAAGTATATGCCATTTGAAGGCATATTCTTCATTCTGATACCTTACAAACCAGCTCGGTTGTGTGGAGAAGCCTGTTTCCGGGAATGTTCTCGTCTCGTTACGTTAACCTTTCCCTTCATTGATAGAGAAATCTTACAACTGTGGTAAAGTCCAATCCATCGAGTTATCCGCTGCGCCATCCGATCCGCCGACAGTGAGCATGAGGGGACCGCTGACAAAAACATCACTGTTGCTGCCAAGTGTGTTACTACATGATACTTACATTTTGACTTTATTTGAAACTATTTTCGAAGCCTAATTAACGAGCACCTCATAAACTATGCATGCTCGAAGTTACAATCAGAACGGAGCCCATTAAGATAGTTAAAATCGCCCATTCTTGTCAAATTCTTTTCACTCAGTTTTTGACCTCCCCAGAAACGCATAGCAAAAATGAAACCCATTTTTGTGATCCTTGTATGGACCCCTACAACAAGCAACAAACCATTTCCAAAAAGCGCGCCACGACCTGAAAGACCTCCCTTGTTAGGGGCCAGAGAAGGACCATATTAGACTTTTTGCACTGATGGTAAGAGGACAATGTTTAGCATTTTGTGGAACTCAGTCGACATATTGATTGTCATTATTCAACACTTTGTGGAAATCAGTCGATATATAGATTGACATGAGTCAGCACTTTGTGGAAAACAATCGATATGTCGACTGGCATGGTTCAGCTTTTTGTGGAAATCATTGATATATCGATTGACATGGTTCAGCACTTTGTGGAACTCGATCGATATATCGATTGACATGGTTCAGCACTTCGCGGAAACCAGTCTATATATCGATTTACGTATACCTGTGAGCATTCGTAGAAGAACGGATAGAGCCTCGTTGTGATGTATGATGACGACGGATGTAGTGTATTCAGCGTTGAACGTAGTATTGTGGCATCTGATAAGGGATAAGATCATAATTGAGCATTTCAGAAGCTTTTTGAGAGAAGAGACCTCACAGCTCATGACATTGATGGCCAAGATCTCTCCTCATTCCCAATCGATCGCTTGCCATCACATCAAAAGCAAAACTTTTGAATCCGAATTGATAGTAGGTTCTGTCCTGGAAATTGGAACTTTGCTCAACGTACTCGATAACTCGGAAAGAACTCTTCTTCGGAAAGCGCCATGGCCCTGGGTGGGTAGGTCTGCAGCCGGAGATCGGTACCAACTTTCGCCGATTTCAAGTGCGTTTCAGCGACAATTAGTTATGGCTGGTGCTCCTCTGTGCACCTCCCCCCGATCCCTTCCACACTTGATGCGCGCACTGTTAATGTGTGGCGCCGTCATTGTTGCGACATAGTCGCCGCGGTATATGGACGGCCAAAGTCCTTGGCACGTGCTCGCGGCCTGCTGCACGGGCAGAGGTAGAGCTGTAGGGATTAATGACGCCGCAGACGAGTTCGATAGTGCGTGGGTAAGTAGCGCGTCTGTCTGTAGGTGGGCACATGGTCGGTTGTGTGGCGTGTTGCGTGTCTACGGGCGCTTTGCTTGGAAGCGGTCTCATAGAAGAACATGTGCCCTATTGCTGCAACTTCACTCTGTACGCTCCCAGGTAGCTGAAATAGAACCATTAGTATAGCTGTGACCAGCCCACTGTGACCATAGGAATCCCATCGGGAGGTTTTTTCACTTGGTCATTTGGGGAGCGGCCAGACGAATATTCCCACTGGGGTAAAGCATGCGGATTTGGTAAGATGGAGTTTAGCGCGAATTTGCGAAAAACATGATAGGTAGAATGGGAGGGAAGGGAGGTCACACTGGACGAGTAACTTGGGTGGGTGGTGGGGGAGAGTCGAATTGACACCGCCATTCCTCTACTTCCAGTGCTGTGGACAAACCGATCCGGCAGAGCTATAGCGATCTTTTGGCTCGCCTACTCCCCATTCCCCTCCCCGTCTTCGCCAGTGCACGGTTGTTATATGATCGCCGACTGTTCTCGAAAAAAAAAACTTGGACTCACCTCATCGCTTAGTTCTTCCTGTGCCGATGTATGATTGCAGCCTTCCATAGTGTATTCCATCCAGGACGTCAGTCTGCAATTCATTGGAACCAGTTTTAACTGCTGAATAAGACTATATGTTGAATATTCAGAAACCCGTCTAAACCACTCCTATTTCGCGTTTTTACTAATTTGAACAAATCTGGGCGTAATTCGGCTCGGTGGGAACAATAAGTGGTACTCAGCGAAGTTTGTACACGCCACCTTGTGAAGACCTGTCAACTTCTGTGACCAACGTGGTTCACCGAAGCAATTTCGCACTTTCACGGGAATTCACAGGTCTGACCAAAGTGAAACCCGCTCACTCACACAGACCAACGTAAGGAACTAGCAAAAGTGCAAAATGCCCTCTCTAAGCCAAACAGCACCTACACGCCTTTTCTCTGCGACCTCTCATATTCCTCACTCTTTGTATGGATTGATGTGCTTACAGCGTGGTAGCACGACTGTTGAGTTGTCGCTCTTTGAAAGATCTCCCTCATCCTTTGATCCGTCTTTTGATGTTGTTTCCTCCTTCGCCTCTTCTTCGCCGAATACAGTAATAATAGAAGTTAGTAGAATAAACAATACCCGTATAGAGACCCGCATTTACCTAAATGATTTACTAGTGAGAGCAGCTGGAAGATTTTCAGTGATTAACGTAGGATCACACTTCGAACAGCCAGCGTCAAATGGCGGCATAACCTTTGAAAGCAGGTAATCCAGCACTAGAACCACGCTTTGTCAGATTACGTGACGATAATGGCGCAGGTGAAGGGGACGCATCTTTCCAGAAGCTGGCTTATTACGCAAGTGTGTCAAGAGAATCGTACACTTGACCTGCGACAATCTACGAGAGATCTTATTACCTGTTAATATCTGCTTACACTTACGTAAGCATACTCGACATTTCAATGGTGCACGATTGTCATGACCGCTCCCACTAGTTGTAAACGTACGCTGTTTACCCGCGCATTATCAGGCCTTTTTGTGCACTATTCCAGCAGAGTGTACGACAAATCGGCGAACTAAAGAGTTCAGCACATTTCTTCATTTGACTGGTATGAAACAGGAAAATTTCTGACTTTTGGTGAACTGGAATTTTTTGGGAACGGTTGGAGGGGAAGGTATAATTATAGTGAAAAGACTGTTCATCGTCTTTTTCAAGGCAGTTTGTCTAAGAAATCAGAGAAACATCCGAGCCACAGACCCGTATTGAATTCCCATTATCCTGTTGCTATTGCACGTGCTGTTATCGGGCAATGTGCCCTAAAAGCAGTGTATGAGAACCTGCCGTTATGCCCAGTTAAGGGTAATCACGTGGACGACAGTTTGAAGACCACGCACAATTTTCGGGGCACTGTATACCACCCATTTCCCTGAACTTATAATTTGGTTCCTTCGTCTAGCTGGACGCAGGCTTTCTTTGCGTGAGGTACTCACGTCCACAGTCTACAGAGGTGCCACTTTCGTCGCATGAGTGGCAATGATGCAAAAAGGTAGGAAGATCTTAAGCCCAGGCCGAAAATTCGATCTCTTCGCACAGGGTACAGCATCGCTGTGTGAAACACACAGGGCGTCATACTTTCTCGCTGGGGAGAGGAGGTCGTTGGGAGTGGGGAGGGTCGTATGTGGGCGTTAAGAGAAATTTGCTGCGTTGGGAGAAAAAAAAT